GCGGTTGGCACAGGATAGAGCAGGGTTTAGAGCTGTTGTGCATAGGGTCGCTATGAGTCGGAAACGACTCGATGGCACATAACAACAACAACAACAATTACTAGAGAGGAAAAAAAACACCAAACAACCCTATTAAATATTTCATCATGGTCTTGATATCTCCAGTATACAATGTGTAGCTTTGACTGAGGTAGTAGAATAGATAATAGATTTACAAGTTCCTCAGGTCTCAGACTTCATATCAGCCCTCCCTGTCATGGTCTTTCATCTTGGTTTCACGAAAAAAAAAGGAAACTTATTTGAAATTTTGATAAAATAACTGGAATATTCTCTATCATAGTTAAAGTGACTTGGACTTTAAAAGTGTGGATTTAATTAAGGCTTTGAGCTCCAATTTTAACAGCAAGAAAAGGAGAATAAACATTATTTCATTATATGTAAATTTTAAGAATAATTAGCATAAAGTATTTTAAATAGTTGCAGAAAGCACAGAGCAAGAATTCTGGGGATGAACACTCAATGTACTTATGGTTTTGTACCATAGAGTTAGAACTGACCCATAGCTGACACTCCAGCACATTGTCACAGGCTCTAAATGCATAGGGGCTGGACTAGGATGGACAGAGTGGAGATGGTCCCTGCAAAATCACCATGTTATTGCCTTTGTAGACCTGAAATATTTTTTTTCACAAGATACAGTGCTTTAACAGTTTACTTTTTAATCCGGATAAAGAAATACGTTATGGGATGAAAAGAAATTAAAACTTTTAATTTAACCAGGCCATTGAACCTAGCACCATCAAGTTAGTTCTCATAGACTGATAGCAACTTATAAAGGAAATAAATAGACTTTCCCATAGAGTTCCTAAATCTTCACAGGAACAATTTTGACTGATTTGACAACAAGGTTGTCAAAATAACCAGGTTGACTTGAACTACTAGACTCTGGTAGCAGTCCAATTCTTAGCCCACTGTGCACTGGGTGGCTAGAATACGCAATTAATAATACTAGAAATGGTCAAGGAAGAAATGTGCCAATGGAAAGTTGGTTTCTTCTGTTTCTTGGCAGAGGTTTTTGTTTGTTTTGTTTTGTTTTTTTAGTAAAGAGGCAGTTGCCCTTGAGTTGATACCAATTCCATATACATCAAAATAGAACTGTGTGTCAGGGAATTTTGAATGATTGATTTTTAAGAAGTAGATCACCAGCCCTTCCTTCCAAGGTACTACTGGATGAGCTCAAACAAGCTAAACCTTAGTATAATAGCTAAATGCTTAACTGGCTGTGCCACCCAGGGACCTCAGAAGTCATGGAGAGAGGAGGAAAATAGGGAGTGAGACTCAGTTGTCAAGCAGGAGGTAGGAAACACCTTTTTTGATTGTTAGATGGTATCAATAAAGAACACACTGAGGGAGGCATGGCCAGGTCACTGCATTGTTCCTATTTATTGGATCAGAAAGCACAAGTGTTTATGAAAGGCAGTAACACCAACAAAAAAGGAGACAAAACAATAGACGTAAATAGCTGTACCTTTTTATTGGCATAGTGACTTTGCAAAGACTGGTATGAAGAACAAGTTGCAAGTAGCCAGACATGAAGCAATGGATGTCTTCACTCAGAACAGCCTGACAGCCAATGGGAGCACATCAATAAGACAGGCCATTGCATTACAGGAGGGTTGAGGATATACAGCAAGTAAATCATGCAGTGTGATTCTGGAAGGACAGTGGTCTTGTGCTGCAACCATTATTGCTCAAACCAGTAAATTCCAACTTACTTATTTGTATTATTTAAACCTTTGAATGGTTATGACCCTTTTCCACCACTAGCCATAAGCTTGAAGCCATACATGTCTAACTTGAGCGCCTCCATAATTTCTTGTAACCTATGCTAAGGTTTGGAGATGAAATTTAACAGAAGAGTTCACGATCCACTTATCCTGAAATACTGAGCATAGGAAAAAACTGCTTCCTAATTAGCAGATGAGATCTAAAGCATTGGATACAATTCACACTTTCTGCAAGGGCTGACACTGACAAAGCTAAAACAATGACAACATAGCTTAAAGATGGTTAAGTATCCTAGGTTTAAAATAAAAGAGGCATGGAGGACAAAAAAATTTCTAAAAATGATTTTAAAATCTGTGTTCTGAAGAAAGGGAGCACCACCAATTGCATAAAGTTATAAAATACAGTCATAAACATGTAAATAATTATCAGATTTGTAATTCCAATACAACACAAACTCTACAAAGAAACAAAATATATGTACTGTATAGTGTATCATAATAAAACCATTGAGAGTACCATAAACATATGGTTGGACTCTATAAAAACAACTGTACAGTCTGCACACAAATTGCTCCTTTCTCTCATGCCCTGTTGCCCTCTCTCATGCCATGCACCTTTACTGGCTGTTTCTCTTGCTACCTGGAAGTAGCACGTGGCCCTTTAAACACGGAGCCAGAAATTAGAGTGGATCACCATCAAATGGGTAAGAAAGAACACACACAGACACACACACACACATACGCAAACATACAGACACACAGAGAATCTTGTGTATATTTTCACTTCAGACTGTGTGCTTTTTTCATGTAAATGCATGGAGAGAGAACCCAGCACGTATCAGAAAGCAGCCTGCTGCTGAGACGGCCTTGGGGTCACTAGGCAGTTTTATTTTTGTGAGTCTGCAAATGGAGGCCACATCAAATGGTTGTGTCCCAGAGCTCAGAAGGCAGCCTGTTGTTGCAGGAGGCCCCTTCTGGTTTCTTCAGGAGGCTGGGCTTTTTGCATGGAGGCGGGGGCGGGGCCCTGGGCTCAGAGTGGTGCAGGATTTGCTGCCAGTCTTCTCTTTCTTCACAGAGCTTCCTCCTCCAGTCCAGGAGTTCCTGTAGGGCCACACTTTCATTCTCTGAAAGCCTCAGCTGATGGATTACCTATTGGAGGAAAGGGGAGGGTGATAAAATATTGTGAATGGATTTGATAAATGACAGCAGTTTCTGGACGTATATAAGGCTGAAAAGAAGTGCATTGGCTATAAAACCTTCCAGTATTGCTGCCTCTGGAAATTGCATCAAACCAGTTTGGCTGTTAATTTTGGAGTAACAATGATTAATGTAAAAAAAAAAACCCAAAAAAAAACCAACGTAGGGATTTTGCACTCTGACTAATGTGCTAACCCACTGATTCTGGCTCCTGTGCACAGAACCCTGTATTTCACAGCATTTGTTGAGTTTTATTTGAAAGGTGATCATCTATTATTTTCTTCAAGAACCTAGGAAAAAAAAAAGATGGCTACTTATAATGTCTAATGACCATGAAGACAAAACCCATCTCCCAACTCATGGCAACTTCAAGTAGAACTCTACTCCACAGGGCTTTCAACAGTTGTGGTGGTACAGATGCAGACCACCAGGTCTTTATTCTGAGGTACCCCTGGGTATGTTTTGGTTAGTGAACTAGAGTTTAACTCTTGGTGTCACTCAAGTAAGCCCAGAGTGTGTATAACTAGATTTCTGGAGGTAGTTATTACAAAGAAGAAAAAAATAAGTAACTCAAAGCAGCAGTGCATTCCCTGGGGAAATGTGCTATGAAAGACTCCTTTAAAATTTCAAAAAGCAGGGATGTCGCTTTGGTGATTAAGGTATCATGATCCAAACTATAGTCTTTTCAATTGCTTCACATACACTCAAAAGCTAGATGATGAAAAAGGTACACAGAACTGATGCGTTCCAATTTAGTGTTGGCAAAAAATATGAGGTATACTGCCAGAAAGATAATAATCAGTCTTTAGAAAAGAGTCCAACCAGAATGCTAAAGTGGTGAGACGTGGCTAAATTACATAATCAGGAAGATGAGCAATCTCTCATTGCTGGAATTGGAGATATTTTGTAGAGTCGGCAAAAATAAGGGAAACTCTCAGAGAGACAGACTAACACATCCTCAACAATGGACTCAAATATACCAACTGCCGTGAAGATGGCACAGAACTGGGCATCACTTTTTGTAACAATGCAATGAGTAGGAAGGAACTGAATAATTAACAACAACAAAGGAGGTGGAGCATCTTTTTGTGGGCTTTTTGTTTTATATCTTCTTTGGAGAAATATTAAAATCCTTTACTCATTAAAAAAAGTAACTCAGATGTAATTTATAGATAATCAGGAAGGGAAAAAGGAAAAAAGAGAGTGAGTTTGGAAAATAGGATTGCGATAGCTCTAAAGGCAATTTCCCCATGTCAGTTTAAAACAATATGCCCAAGCTATTTATTGGTCATTTTTGTTTGCTTGTTTGTTTCCAATTTTGAGGACTGCCCAGAATGATAATGCAAATAAGGAATTATTCTGAGGGGGGTAATATAATGGAAATCAGATTATCTCTATTGTCAAGAAAGTTAAAGAATTAAACCAACCAACTGGAGCAGGGAGAGTGTGTACTAAGTATGCGTGTCAGGTCCTTTGAAAGCAATTTACAAACGTTAACTTAGGGTTTGTTTGTTTGTTTGTTTGTTTGTTTTCTCTCAGAAGTCTATCAAAAACATCTGTATTTTACATGTGAAGACACTGAATGAAGCACAGAAAGGTTAGATAACTTGCACAAAATCACATGGAAAGTGATGGAACCAAGATTACAGTCTAGATGATTTGACTCCAAGGTCTATAATCTTAACTGTTACCATATGTTGTTGTTATGCACCATTGAGGCACAAGCAACTCATAGCTGACCTTCCAGGAGGTTTTCAGAGGCAGTTTAATTACCGAAGAGGAAATTGCTCATCTTTCTGCTGCAAAGCAGCTGGTGGATTTGAGCCATCTAGCTCCTTACCAGTGGGCCACCAGAACTCCTTATTTAATGGGAGTTATATTTCTTTTTCTAGCAATATCTGCTATTATATGTCAGTAGTGATTATGATTAGCTTCAGTCTCTGAATTTAGAATATTTGTAGATAGGCTCGTTGGTCCACAGTTGCAGTTTATGAAAACTATTCTCATCAAAATGATCCCCAAGAGAGTATCTTTAAGTTGATGCCATGTCTGTGGATTTTCTTCTCCCCATAATTATTTTTTCAGTATTTTCTTTCATCTTGGAATAGTTTTGTTCCTACCTTGGTAGCATAGCTCTATATTAATCTATTTTAAAAAACTAAAAAACTTCTATTTCTAGAGAGGATATAGAAAGTCATGAGAGATGGTGGATCCCATTGTACAAACCAGGAGTAATAAAAAATTATATTTTTAAAGCATTATAAACTTTGAAAAACTAACATGTAGAGAAACTCAAATTTCAGACAGAGGAGAATTTTTCCAAGGTAACCTAAAATTAGCAGACTTTTAGACAATAAAACAAAATTAAGAATAACCTATCTGAGCAGATTTACAAATGCTAAACTCTTACTTGGGTCTAGAGAGTCTCATCTGAGAGGAAAATAATAGCCAGAAAATATTTTATTATTGAATAGGACACATTGAGAATTTGAGGAAGCTCAAATACACAGCTATTTTCCCCTCATGTAATATTTGCAGAGTTCTTGAATTTTGCAAAGGTTGGTGCTTTAGGTCAAACACTTATAAAAAGAGTAAATCTCTTATAGTAATGGAAGTAAAGATCTGACAGGGGAAATTATGGACACAAGCATATTACTTAAGGACATTTGACAGATTTTAAAACTGAGAAGGTCAAGGGACACTTGACCTGATACTATCTTTCAGTGTTGAGTCAACTTTGAGAAGGCTTCTAATCAAAAAGCTAGAAGGATAAAGCCTGAGAATATGAAGGTGTTTGGAAACCAAAGCTCGACTTACTATACTTCAACTCAGTCTCAACCATCTCAATCTTTTTAATAAAAGAAAATTACCAGTTCTTCCTATTCACTTCATAAAAGGGAGGTTGGGGACATGCTAAGATAAAAAAAATATTATTTATAGTGTCTCTAAGGGTGAAGATTACTAAAAGATATTTGCCAGATTTTAGTACTCAATGGGTCATGGGATACTAGACCTGCGGCTATCTCTCAGTGTTGAGTCAACCTTGACAATGGGCAGGTTCTTAATCATTTGATTTGATTGCCTTTGAACTGTGGTGTTGGAGAAGAGTACTGAATATCCCAAGGACTGCCAAAAGAAGAAACAGGTATGCCATGGAGAAGGTGTGGGGATGGTGAAAGAAAGGAAGATCAACAGGAAGAGATCCATATTACTTCCCATTCCCAAGAAATGTAATCCAGCAGAATGTGGAAACTATCAAACAATATCATTAATATCTCATGCAAGCAAAATGCTGCTAAAGATAATTAAAATGCAGCTATAACAGTTCCTAGAGAACTTTCAGATATTCAAGATGGATTTAAAAAAGGCTGTGCCATTAGGGAAGTAGTTTCTGATGTCAGATGGATCCTGGCTGAAAGCAAAGAATACCAGAAGAATGTCTATTTGTGCATTACTGACTAAGCAAAGGCATTGGACTGTGTGAATCACAACAAATTATGGCTAACATTGAGAAGAATGGGAATCCCAGAACATTTAATTGTGCTCATGGGAAATCTTTGGAAGGAGGAGTGGCATCGACTTCCGTAATATCTTGCCTATGAGAACCCTATGAACCTGGAGAAAGGAAGAAAGCACCCAAGCATCGAGGACTCTCCATAGGGTCACTATGAGTCACCTGTGACTCGATGGCACTTAACAACAACAACAACAACAACATGTAAAATCTACACCTAGAACAAGAAGCTGTTCTTCAAACAGTACAAGGTGACCCTGAATGGTTTAAAATGAAGAAAGGTATGTGCCAGAGATGTGTCCTTTCACCATACCTACTAAATCTATATGCTGCATCAACTCTTCTAGAAATTGTATTCTATGAAGAAAAATGTAGCATCAGGACTGGAGGAACCTTGTTTTCTGAAAGTAAGGAGGACTTGAAACACTTGCTATAGAAGTTCAAACAATGGATTCTTCAATATGGATTGCACCTCAATGTCAAGGAAACAAATTCTCACCATTGGACTGATAGGTGAAATCACAACAATTGGAGAACAGATCAAAAATAGCAACAACTTTATCTTATTAAGATTAACAATCAATATACTTGGGAACAGCAGTCAGGAGATCGAGACAAAGTAGTGGGAAAGTCTATATGCAGAATCTCTTTAAATTACTGATAACCATTGATGCTAGTTTGTGGACTAAGGTGCACTTGATTCAGACCATGATCTTTTCAATCACTTTCTATGCCATTGAGAGCTGGACAACGAAGAAGTGTCACAGAAGAAAAATTCCTGCTTTTGAACTGTAGTATTGGAAAAGAGTACTGAATGTCCCATTGACTGCCAAAAGAACAGATATGTTTTGGAGAAAGTGTAGCCAGAGTGATCCTTGGAGACAGTGATGGTGATGCTTCATTTTGCATACTTTGGGCATGTTGCTAAGAAAGGCTATTCTTCCTTAGAGAAGGACCTTATTCTTGGAAAGCTGGAAGGTGGCAGCAATAGAGAAGACTTTCAGCCAGGTGGACTGACACAGTTACTAGAGCAATCAGCTTCAGTGCGTCAGAGATTGTGAGGTTGTCACAAAATAGGACAAGGTTCAGATCTGTTGTTCATAGGGTTGATATGAGTGTACTCAACTTGATGGCAACTAACAACAATAATATAGTTTCAAGATAGTGCAATCCTTGCAAAAATTCATGCTATAAAAGGGTCAGGGTCAAGGAAGGAAAGAAAGACTCTCAAAAAATGGTCTGAAAAAAAATTAAAAAAATGGTTTGATATAGTAACTAGAAAAGTTAGCTCAAGCATATCAGAGATTGTGAAGATGGTACAGAATAGAGCAAGGTTCATAGGGTCGCTAGGTGTCAGAGTCAATTTGATGGCACCTTACAACAATAACATAGTTTGGGGAGCTCTCATGCCATAGTCTGTATGACGTTGTACTGCTAA